ATATTTCAATTCAGAACATCAAAATACATAATAAATAGCACATTTTATCTCTGAAGCAGACGACTTCTCAAAAATTGTAGACCAGTGTTTTCAGTGGCACTCACATTGCCCGGGTCCTGGCCACCGGTCCTGGGGCTCTGCATTTTAATTTAATTTTAAATGAAGCTTCTTAAACATTTTCAAAACCTTGTTTACTTTATATACAACAATAGTTTAGTTATATATTATAGAATTATAGAAAGAGACCTTCTAAAAACATTAAAATATATTACTGGCACGCAAAATCTTAAATTAGAGGAAATAAATGAAGACTCGGCACACCACTTCTGAAAGGTTGCTGACCCCGATATAGACCATGCTTATAAGATGGGGGAATCTGTCTTGGGAAACAGTGACTCTGAAAAAGATTGGGGCGGTCATGGTAGATAATCAGCTGAACATGCGCTCCAAGTATGATGCTGTGGCCGAAAAAAACTAATGCAATCCTGGGATGTAGAAACAGGGGAATCTTGAGTAGGAGAAGGGAGATTGTTTTACCTCTAGATTTGGCACTGGTACAATTTCTGCTAGAATATGGTGTCCAGTTCTGGTACCCACAGTTCAAGAAAGATGTTGATAAAGGGTTCAGAAAGAGCCACGAGAACAATTAAAGGCCTAGAAAACATGCCTTATGATAGACTCAAACTGCTCAATCTATTTAGCTTAACAAAGAGAAGATAAGGTAAGAAGACTGATTACAGTCTGTAAGTATCTACATAGGGAACATATATTTAGGAAATAGGCTCTTCAATGAAGCAGAGAGACATATAACATGATCCAATGCTGGAAGTTGAAGCTAGACAAATTCAGACTGGAAATAAGGTGAAAATTTTCACAGTAAGGGTAATTAACTATTGGAACAATTTATCAAGGGTCATAGTGGACTCTTCATCACTGATACTTTTTAAATCAAGATTGTATATTTGTTTTTTAAAAGATATGCTCTAGGAATTATTTTGGAGATGTTATATTGCCTATATTTTACAGGAGGTCAGATTAGATTACCACAGTAGTGTCTTCTAGCGTTGGAATCTATGAATTTATTAAATTAAATTTAGTACTTGATGAACAAAGAATTACATCAATAGAAACCTATTGCATTGGAGAGGAGACTCAATTTTAACTCCTAACAGGATTTAAAGAAATAAAATAATAAATAATAATAATCCTAGGGAAATTAACAGTTTGGATTAGAAATATGAAAATGCAAAAAAAATGCATTTGGGTTTATTTTCCAGTTGAAAATCTGACTGAAATTCAATTTTGTTCAGATCCCATAATCCCAGTCCTTTGTTTCCATGCTGCATTTTAAGGGATCTCTCACTCTCAGAATGAGGTGACTGTGTATTTTCCAGTTCCACTGCAAGTGATTAGGAGAGGGCAGTTTGCCCCCACTCATAAAGAGAATGGGATTTTTTTACTGGGGAGAAACTGGACCTACATTGTTGGTGTCCCATTTCCTCAAAGGCTGAATATAGAGGAGTGAGCTAACTGTAGATCCTGAGATGGGGATAATGACAGTTAGGCGTGCTGGGTCAATTTTTATAGTGTGGGTGCTGAGAGCCATTGAACCTAACTGTAAACCCTGTATATAATGGAAACCACTTCAAACCAGGGGGTGCTGCAGCACCCCCAGCAGCCTTAATTCCAGCACCTATGATGATAGTTGGCTGCCCCTGATGATGTTAACAGTGTGGGAAGGGAATTTGTAGTGTATCTTCCCCTCCCTTCATTTTCCCCCAACAAAACATAATGAGATAGCAGACCTGTTGAAGGAAGGTGTCCAGGTAGAAGATGTTCATGACTTATGCTCGGAGGTGTGAACCGTGTGAAATTAACATAGTGATTTCAACTGGGCCTGGTTGAAATTTATTCAAAATTTCAAAGATAAACTAAACATGGAGATATACCTATCTCATAGAACTGGAAGGGACCTTGAAAGGTCATCAAGTCCAGTCCCCTACCTTCAGTAGCAGGACCAATTTTTTTGCCCCCGATCCCTAAATGGCCCCCTCAATAATTGAACTCACAACCCTGGGTTTAGCAAGCCAATGCTCAAACCACTGTGTGTGTGTGTGTGTGTGTGTGTTCTGTTTATTTATTTATTTATTTGGCCACTTTTCCAACCACTCTAGTTTTGACTGAGATTCTGAATGAGTTTTTGTATCAAACTGAACCCCAACTCAAAATGAAACTCAGACTTTGAACTCAATTGAAAAAAAGTCCTCTGAGAAGCTGAGTTTCACACAGCTCTAGCTAGCAAGTCTGCTTCATGTTTGCCACACAGAACTGTAGACACTAATTCTATGGGGAAAGCAATACTATTGCGAGATTTTCTACATCGCCATTCACAGGACAAGGGAAAGCCTGAGGCTGGAGTTAGTGCAGGTCATGAAGCCATTTAAGCTCTCTGTTTGGGATCAGATCAGGTATAAGTCAGCTTTTTCTATACTAGAATCCTCTCATCAGCTATTTTTAAAGTAGTGAGCTTGAAAGAACCACCCTCCTGACAGAGTCGGATAAGAAACCAGAACTAAACCACATATAAAATATTCAGATAATATACACATTGCATATTTAAAGTGAAATTCACGATAGATAGATAGATAGATAGATAGATAGATAGATAGATAGATAGATAGATAGATAGATAGATAGATAGATAGATATTGCCTTTCTTTACATTTTCTTCCACCTTTAGTTTTTTTGTGTGTGAATTCAGTAGCTTATTCCTACCTTAAGGATTCTTTCCAACTGAAATATCTGTCACTGCTGAAATTGAACAGACACACAAAGTGCTGACATTAAACCACAGGAGCCAATTTTCATAGACAGCTGCTTAAGCATTCCAGAGCAGCATTTTCCTATCAGCCAGCTTTAGAAGGTATTTGTGATTTGTACAGTTTTAACTGGAAAGAAATGTGCAGCAGATAGCAAGGGTGAATGCAAACAGCAACCAGAAAATATTTGCAGAATAAAACTGTTATGATCCCTCTATTTGTTTGTTTTTCACAGTTAACACCAGAACTATAATTCTGATCCCCGAATATTCTTTAAGGGGTGGTTGTGCTTCTAGTTAATCGGGAACATATGAAATGACTCTCAGGGTAAAAATATTTTGGAGGGTGAACTGCTGTGAAATGTAGCTTTTCATAAAATGCTATAAAATGTTAACCCAGCTGTGTCTCTTTTGTCCTGTACTTGTCAATATAAACACTAAGTAAGTTGCTTTTCTATACTAATTTGCTAATGCATTTTGACAATATCTGATAATATTGTACTTTATTTCTTTATCTCAGTGCCTTGGGGGTGAGGGTGGGAATCTTTTAGTCTTACATGAAAAAGTTAAACCAGATAAGTGCTAGTGAATGGTGCCATATAATGAATCCTCTAGTTTTCTGTCAAGAAAAGGTGCAAATAGTGCAAGCTTCTGACATGGATTTAATAATGTGTCTCAATCCTGATCTGGAGGGATCACCTTTAAGGGATAAGAGGGTAGCTCATTCTCTATGCTGACTTCATCTTTTGGCCTCTCTGATAATTCTATTCTATTCTAGAGTCTCTAGTCTACTCTATGTTCTTATACCATGCTCCTCACAGTAATATCTGATTGCCTATTCAGGTAACACTGGCAACAAGGGTACCAACTGTGATTCATATATTTTTTCGGCTACATAAACTGTTTCAAAGACTAGAATCTTTGGGTTGTATCCATTCCTGATGTAACTGAATTGGCTATACTAGAACATACCAGAGGCGTTGACTTTCTAATGTGCCGGGGGGGTGCTCGACCCCCGCTCTGCCGCAGGTCCCGCCAGCCCCAACTCTGCCTCTTCAGACCCTGTACCACCCCATCCCCTGAATGAACCCTACTCTCGCTCCTTCCCCTCTCCCCAGTGCCTCCTGCACATCGCGGAACAGCTGATCGCAGTGGGCAGGAGGTGCTGGGAGGGAGAGGGAGGCGCTGATTGGTGGGGCTCACTGGTGGGCAGGAGGCCCCGGAGGGCTGCTGCTGGGTGCTCAGCACCCACCATTCCCCATTTCCCGTTGGGTCTCCAGACCTGGAGCACCCATGGAGTCAGCGCCTATGGAACATCTCTCTAAATATGTAAAGGCCCAAGCATTACATGCAGGGTGTGACAAAGATCTGAAACGAGGGACAAAACAATAATTCACAAAGGAGAAAAAATTCCATCCTTAATTCTCCTGTTTTTTATGATTTAATACATAAATGTTACTGATTATACTATATGATGGGCAAAAGTAGATTCAAAGTGTATGTGACTCTGTATGTGTGTTTGTGTGTGTGGTGAGCAGATGGCCGTATAATATCTGAGCTACTGGTGTGCTCCCTCATTGTTAACTCAGAAACAGTTATTAGGTTCCTTCATCAACCAAGTGTTTATTTTTCATCTGTTTGGTATTTGTGGTCAGTTAAGTTTCTAATTTTCCTTTAAAAATGTATTCCCATTTGTTCGGGTGAAGCAAGCTGATGTTGCTATTGCTGTGGGTGACTGGTGTATTTATGTAGGGCTGTGGAAGCAAAAGGACACATTTTTAGCACCCGCGTTTGTTTATGCTCTTTATATCTTTATATACTGGAGGCATATCAAATTGTCCAAATTGAAAGTTAATATGGGAGTCAGTTCTAAAGTTGACTACTGGGGGAGCTTTTCATTGTGGCTTCTATTTGGCAGAATATGAGAATGGATGGAGGCAGACTGTGGAGGTAAGGGCAAATTAAACCTTGGCTGAAGTCTGCATGGAAAGGAGAACACTGTGCAGAAAAGCTAAGAAGTACCAGAGAGACAAGGTAGGTGAGGTAATATGTTTTATTGAACCAACTTCTGTTGATGAGAGGACAAGCCTTCCAGCTTATATAGAGCTCTTCTTCAGGTCTGGAAAAGGAACATCCAGTGTCACAGCAAAACTGAGACAGACACAGCTACGCTGTATACAAGAAGTACCAGAAGTGATCGTAATGAGTGTTTGTTTAGAGTGCAACATTTCCATATGTGGGTGTTTAGGGAGGGCAGGACATGGTTCTGGTATGCACAGCTACAGAAGCCACAGTCTTTTATACTTTTTTGCCAGAATGGAGTTGATGTGTGTGTAGCAGGCCCGAGGAGATAGTTTGAGAGATGATCACACATTTTTTTTTCAATTTTTCCAGTTTTTCCAGTTATTCTGCCTGCCAACATTTTATGAGGTTTGTTGTTGTTTTTTTGTTTTTGTTTAATTTTTTTTGGAGGGATGCTAAGAAGAAGATATTTGCTGAGTTGATAAGGATCATTGAAAGAAGAGATAACAATGATAGGGAAGAATTGGTAAAAATAAGAGCCGCTTAGGAGATGCAGAGAAATACACACAGAATCCAGATTTGATTGAAGAAACCACAGAACTGGAGGGGGTGCGGGAAGAGTGCTGTTATTTCTGTGGCTAGAACATCCACAGTCTCTTCTACCTAATTAGAAAGAAGTTTGGATGTTCAGAAAAACCTACAAGATAAACATGCATAGTAGGTTGACCAGAAGGAAGTTGTACGGTTCAAATTACATTTCAGTGCCACATAAGAAATTAAGATTTTATTTGACTATAAAATGGAGTAGTGGAGGAACCACCTACTGTAAAAAAAAAAGGTAAATTTGAAAATGAGCTGTCAGAGTGGGAAAAAATTGGAGAATTGGAAGGCAAAGTCCACATGTTAGAAAAATCTAATGAGAAAATGCAAAGGATAATAGAATCTCAGCAGGTTCAGGTTGACAATATGCAGAATTGGATGAGATGTAATAATTTCTGAATAATTAGCATCTTGAAGGTCAGGGAAAGCTCTTACATGGAGGACTTTCATTTGCAAATTTTACATGTCCTTCTGGGTACCAGAAGCTTCTGAAATTCATTAGTTATTGAAAGTGCTTATAGACTAGGTATTATATTGTGTAATGTTAATACCAGGACTGCTCCATAGGCAAATAACTGTGAAGACTTTGAACTTTAAGGATTTTTAAATTTGGCTGGATTGAAAGTGAATATGTTTTCAAATTCTGCTAGGACAGCCATTCAGCAGGCGTTCTCACAAGAAATTCAACCAAGAGAAGACCCAGAGTTTCCCATATAGTCCAGCTACTTTGAGAGCATAGCAGTCTACTGGAGGATTGAACCAAGGTAAGGGATCTCCTATGTAGGTAAAACCAATGGATTATTCACCATCTCCCTGCTGCCAGCACAGAAGTTTGAGTGGATAGTGCAATGGGGATGTAGTTAGTTCCTTTAGCTCCACCTGCTATTTCAGTTGGTAGCCAGTGTAATTTACAGAATTCAGGAGCAGGGCCGGCTCCAGGCACCAGTGGAGGAAGCACATGCCTGGGTGGCACATGCTAAGGGGCGGCATTCCTTACATTCTTGGGCCGGCACAGTCTGAGCGTTTTTTGTTTTTTGTTTTGCTTGGGTCGGCAAAAATGGTAGAGCTGGCCCTGTTCAGGAAACCCTGGGGGCCAAAACCAGCACACAGTTGGTCTAGATTTTTGCACCCAGACCAAACTCTTCTGTCAACTCCGCATATGAGTATTTGCCCAATCTATTTTGGCAGAATTGTGAGTTTTCATATGAAAGTGCAGCCTGGAGTTCATTACTCAGCAAGACTACTTTGTATTATTGGTATTGCAATAGCACCCAGAAGCACCAATGAAGATTAGGGACACACTGTTTTGGAGACAGGGAGCTGATACGAATAACATAATGAGAGATAGTCCCTGCCCAAATGATTTTACACTCCAACTCAGATAGGGAGAAAACCTCAGTTTTTTCTTTAATTCTGTAGATACATAAAATTATGATGATTTTTGGTCTCAGTGTACCAGTAACAAAGTAGTTAATCTGTTATTACAAAGAAAAGAAGCAGTTTAGGAGTTTCTCCAGAGCAATCATATTGTGTGGTTATTGTTCAGGAGGAAACAATTAGGAAAGATCCAAGAACCCTGAATTTCAAATTGGAAGAGAAGAAAAGCTTCAACTAGGGAATGGAATGGTGGGGTTTTGTTAATGACTCGGGAGAACAGGCTGCTTTGAAAAAGAAGGAGCTGACAAATTGAGGGATTGAGTAAATTCTGATGACTCATGTATGGAGCTAATTTTTTAGGTTTTGTTTGTTTGGGGATTTTTTGCTTGCTTGGGGAAGTTAGGATATACAATTATGTAGAGCTGAATAAGTGGTATGAAGAGTTAATTATGCATCAAAAAGAAAGTAAACAGCTAACATAACATTAATTTTTGGAATTTTGGAATGTTGAAGGCACTCAGTGACAGATTTGAAGAAAATGTTTATGCATTTGTAAACTAGACTTTCTTTTATTATCAGCGATACACTTGATAAAAACAGTTACAATTGGTTTAGGGAAGGTGATGCAACTTTCTTTTCAGGAGCTGTTTAGGATGCAGAACTTATGCAAGGTTAATGGTATTGCATTAATGAAACTCATTCTTACTATAGAAGGCGATGCACTAGAATTTATAGGAAACTAGGAGCAAGACAGATATTGATGATCAATAGTTATGTTCCAGGGGTAAGATTCCTAGTTGGTGTAAATTGGCATAGCTCCATTGACTTCAAGCTTTCTCTGGCATCAGGTGTTTAAAATATCTCCTGTTTAATGAGAAGCATGCTGGTTTCAACTTTGGAACTGATTTTATGAAGGTGGGTGATAATTTTAATTGGAGGCAAGGTAGAACACAGAATCCAAGTTGTGCTGAAGTGTTCATAGAAGCATAGAATCATAAAAAGATTAGTGTAGGAAGAGACCTCAGGAGGTCATCTAGTCCAACCGCTTCTCGAAGCGGGACCAACCCCAACTAAATCATCCCAGCTAGGGCTTTGTCAAGCCATGCCTTAAAAACCTCTAAGTATGGAGATTACACCACCTCCCTAGGGAATCCATTCCAGTGCTTCACCACCCTCCTACTGAAATACTTTTTTCCTAATATACAACATAGACCTTCCCCACTGCAACTTGAGACCACTGCTCCTTATTTTGTCATCTGCCACCACTAAGAACAGCCTATCTCCATCCTCTTTGGAACCCCCCTTCCATTAGTGGAAGGCTGCTATCAAATCCCCCCCTTACTCTTCTCTTCTACAGACTAAATAAGCCCAGTTCCCTTAGCCTCTTCTCATAAATCATTATCCCCAGCCCCCTGATCATTTTCATTGCCCGCTGCTGGACTCTCTCCAATTTGTCTACATCCTTTCTGTAGTGGGGGGCCCAAAACTGGATGCAATGCTCCAGATGTGGCCTCACCAGTGTCGAATAGAGGGGAATAATCACTTCCCTCAATCTGCTGGCAATGCTCCTTCAATTCAGTTGTTAGCCTTCTTGGCAACAAGGGCACACTGTTGATTCATATCCAGCTTCTTGTCCCCTGTAATACCCAGGTCCTTTTCTGCAGAACTGCCACTTAGCCAGTCAGCCCCCAGCCTGTAGCGGTGCATGGGATTCCTCTGTCCTAAGTGCAAGACTCTGCACTTGTCCTTGTTGAAGCTCATCAGATTTCTTTTGGCCCAATCCTCCCATTGTCTAGGTCACTCTGGACCCTTGCCTTACCCTCCAGCATATCTACCTCTCCCCACAGCTTAGTGTCATCTGTGAACTTGCTGCGGGTGCAATCCATCCCATCATCTAGATCATTAATGAAGATGTTGAACAAAACCAGCCCCAAGACTGACCTCTGCAGCATTCTACTTGATACCAGCTGCAAACTAGACATTGATCATTTGATCACTACCCATTGAGCCCAACAATCTATCCACCTTTCTATCCACCTTATAATCCATTCATCCACTCCATACTTCTTTAACTTGCTGGCAAGAATACTGTGGGACACCATATCTAAAGCTTTGCTAAAGTCAAGGTATATAACATCCACCGCTTTCCCCATATCCACAGAGCCAGTTATCTCCTCATAGAAGGCAATCAGGTTAGTCAGGCATGACTTGCCCTTGGTGAATCCATGTTGACTGTTCCTGATCACCTTCCTCCCCTCCAAGTACTTCAAAATGGATTCCTTGAGGACCAGCTCCATGATTTTTCCAGGGACTGAGGTGAGACCGACCTGTCTGTAGTTCCCTGGATTCTCCTTCTTTCCTTTTTTAAAGATGGGCACTATTTGCCTTTTTCCATTAATCCGGGACCTTCCCCAGTCCCTATGCGTTTTGAAAGATAATGGCCAATGGTTCTGCAATCACATCAGCCAACTCCCTCAGCACCCTTGGATGCATTGCATCTGGCTCTTTGGACTTGTGCATTCCATACCCTGTTCTTTCATCACTGAGGGCTGCTCACCTCCTCCCCATACTATGCTTCCCAGTGCAGCAGTCTGGGAGCTGACCTTGTCTGAAGACCAAGGCAAAAAAAGCATTGAGTACTTCAGCTTTTTCCACATCATCTGTCACTAGGTTGCCTCCCCCATTCAGCAAGGGTCCCACACTTTCCCTGACATTCTTCTTGTTGCTAACATACCTGTAGAAACTCTTCCTGTTACCCTTGACATCCCTTGCTAGCTGCAACTTCAATTGTGCTTTGGCCTTCCTGATTACACCCCTGAATGCTTGAGCAATATTTTTATACTCCTCCCAAGTCATCTGTCCATGTTTCCACTTCTTGTAAGTTTCCTTTTTGTATTTAAGCTCACCGAAGATTTCACTGTTAAGCCAACCTAGTCGCCTGCCATATTTTCTATTCTTTCTGCACATCTGGATGGTTTGTTCCTGCGCTCACAGTAAGGCTTTTTTAAAATACAACCAGTTCTCCTGGATTCCTTTCCCCCTCATATTAGCCTCCAAGGGGTTCCTGCCCATCAGTTCCCCGAGAGAGTCAAAGTTGGCTTTTCTGAAGTCCAGGGTCCGTATTCTGCTGCTCTCCTTTCTTCCTTTAGTCAGGATCCTGAATTCAACCATCTCATGGTCACTGCTGCTCAGGTTGCCACCCATTTCTACTTCCCCCGTCAATTCTTCCCTGTTTGTGAGCAGCAGCTCCAGAGGAGCATGGCACCTAGTTGGTTCCTCCAGCACTTGCACCAGGACATTGTCCCCAACACTCTCCAAAAAACTTTCTAGATTGTCTCTGCACTGCTGTATTGCTCTCACAGCAGATATCAGGGTGATTGAAGTTCCCCAGGAGAATCAGGGCCTCTGATCTGGAAACTTCTGTTAGTTGTCTAAAGAAAGCCTCGTCTACCTCATCCTCCTGGTCTGGTGGTCTATAGCAGATGTCCACCATGACATCACCCTTGTTGCTCTCACCTCTAAACTTAACCCAAAGACTTTCAACGGGCTTTTTTCCAGTTTCATACTGGAGCTCTGAGCAATCATACTGCTCTCTTACATACAGTGCAACTCCGCCCCTTTTCTCCCCCACCTGTCCTTCCTAGTTTATACCCATCTATGACAGTGCTCCTGTCATGTGAGTTACCCCACCAAGTCTCTGTTATTCCAGTTATGGAAGTATTCCTAACTGGTGAGTTAGATGTAGACTGTTCCTAGTGGTTATGGTTCCAACCTCATTCCAAAGTCAGAAAGGGACTCTTTTGTTTCATTTTAGGAAGGAAGGAAGGAAGTAGGAAACCTCAGTGTCCTGCACAGAACTTACATAGGCTTAGCATAATTTTATTTGTATTTGTTTTTATAATTAAGACAGATAATACTGATTTTCTATTTGTATCTATTTACATTTTCATATTTGTGGGAAATTTGGGGATTTCAGACAGTTATTTAATAACAGTAGACATTGAGATCCAAATAGTTAAAGCTTTATGACCATTAACACACAAAATGTCAACATTTATAAAGTAAATATCCGTAAATCAAACTCTAAGTTCTCAAGAAGCATTTTTTTGTAATTTCCCCATCTGTGTTATCAATGGAGATATTCTGTCATCGTTTTTTGTGTATCCAGTGACACTGAAATTTACCAACATGTACAGATAAAAGTCTAATCCATCTAAGCCTAAATATACAGCAGTGGCAAAGTCAAAGCCACAAATGCTCTACCGAAACCAAAAACAGTTGCATAGTCTGTGTCATAGCAAATTAAGAGAAGTATATGAGCTAGTGGTCTATGAAAATGAAAAAGGGAACCCAGGTTTGCCTAAGGGAAGAAGGTAATAGGCCAGAG